CAGGCCACTGCCAGTGACGGCCTGCAGGAAGGAAGCTGCCTGGTGAATGGGAACAAGACCCTTTGTGCTAAGGGATGAATCAGATCCAGGGAGATGTTTGCATGTACTCTGTGGACAAAGGAGGTGAAGTGGCAGCAGGCTGCTGATGGCTCTTAAGGAGGAGCTGATGCTCTGGGGGCTCCCATGGATGGAGGTGGGGTGGCTGCTAAAACTCCCCCTGTCCATGGGGTGACCAGCAGGGTGATGTTCCCTAGTCACGGCTGTTGTGGAAAAACTGCCTGTTGGCAACCTTGCAGGGAATCTTCCCTTGTCTGGTCTTGCTCCTTACGTGTAACTGGTGTGTTAGCCAAAGCAGTTACTGAGAGCAAATGAAGGTGTGTGGTAGAGAATCTTTAAGATCTCGTCCAAAGCATTGACCCAGTTCTTTAGAAGTACATTGTGAAATTGGTGATGAAAGCAGTGATGCAAGATTCCTGTTCAGAACAGCTTTGGCTCAGTGTCATTTCTAGAACAACAGGCACAGATTTGATGTAGGCAGAGAGGCTGCTTCAGGAATAGTAGCAGCTTCAGTCCAGGGAGAGACAAAGGGGAGGAATTACACAAATTGAGCTGAGGTGTCTGGAATGGAAATGAAGTTTTTTCTAGTGGAATTACTACTATGAGATTAAAGAAACCCTTGCTTTAATTAAACAGGCCACTAAGGACTGCATGTTTCTCAAAATAGAAACATCTGTTTTCTTATCTCCAAATTATCCAATAATGTGTGTAATTGTTCCTGTACAAGCAGCTTTTCCATGCAAATCCCAAGTGGTACTTCAGTAATTGAACTGATCCTTTTATTTTAAGGAAGTGGCTTTGGCTTTTGCTTACGTAGTATGCACAAGTGGCATCCAAGAATAAAATGACATAAAGTGCTAGCTTATGAGATGCTGCCAGACAACATGCTTTGGTGCAGTGTTGTTTCCACGATGGTTCCCTTCTACCGCTATTAGTTATGTGATAGGGCAAAATCTCTACTGAATTATAGATTGGCTTACTTGAATAAAGCAAAATATTTAGTATAACTTTTCAGGTGGCTGAATGGTTCAGTGTCTTTATTCCATGGTCAAAAGTATACTGGATTGACTAGTTCAACCATTCTTCTCTTCTAGTGTTGCAACTTGTGTATAATGCACTTGATTCATAATGTTCTCTTTCTGCTAGTGTGGCAGTGTTGGCAGTGCTAAACCACTAGGTTCCTACTTGCCTGTACCATTAGGTATCAATGACTGTGCCCTGTTCTTCCAGCCCAGACTGGGAGCTGGAAAGCATCCAAGGCCCCACATGTCCTTGGATGCAGACTCTGTCGAGAGTCCACGTCAGGATGACACCCTGGCGTGCATCGTGCTCCCTCCTCTCTCCCCACTGACCTAAAGTATGGGGTCAGAGCAGAGCTGTGACACTCCAGCCAAGTCTCTACCATTCAGATACAGCTTTAAAATGTGTTTGCCCGCAAGCAGCTCGACTCTGTAGCAGAAAATGCACCAGAGGAGAGACTCCCAGTTAAGACTGGCTCTGGCCACCTCTGTCCCAGACTGCTGCTGACAGAGGAGGGACAGAGGCTGCTACCCTTTGTGATATGTGAGGCCAAAGCACTTACCTGGCATGTGGAAGAAGTGATTTGTCCCTGCTGCCCTCAGCTGGGGGAGGGAGAGAGGTCCAGTCCTTGTTGCTGCTGTTACAGGACAGATCTCCAGGCACCATTGTACCTGCCAGACTGAGGCAGGGTGCTTCCAGTCTTCCTGTTGAAGCCAGGCCAGGATGCATAAAGAGACTGAAGCTTCACAAAGCTACAGGGAAGAAGAGCATATGTGCCTGAGTGCTGGCAGCTGGCAAAGTCAAGCTCATGAGGAAAAGGGTTTCCAGAGCTCATGCCAAGTCCTGATTCTGTGTGTTATTCAGGGGCAGGATTTAAGACTCCCTCCTCTTTCCAGTGTTGCCTATTGACTAGGCAGCACCTCATTTGGCATGACAGCTCCTTGAATCCTGTTATGAGGTTCCTAACTCCCCTGTGCTTTGTAAAAACTGGCCTAGCTGCCAAAACTGAGACTTGAACTCTAAGCAGTAGCAACTGCCGCTTTTTATGCGGAGGGTCTGGGGCCATAACTCTACTGTTGGCAAAAACAAAAGTATATATGTAGTATGATAGCATGTAGTGTAGCATTTCTCACATGGGGATGCCTTGTGCCCAGCTGCTTCACAAGCTGTAGCTCCAAGGAGAGCATGTTCCACTGCTGCAGACCTCTTTGGGCAGGAGCAACTGATGCAACTACAAACCAGGCTGCACACGCAGCAGAGCTGCTCACCTTGCAGTAAAATCACTGCACTGAACAAGGTGGGGGCTGTCAGCTGAAAACACCCCTACAAGATTAAAGGAAGGTAGACCAGAATGCTGGTCACTTACTCGAAAAGGTGAGGGCTTTGGCCCACACGCCTCCCTGTAGCCATCAAGCCTGCCTGCCCGCTGCAGCGCTTGTCTCTGAAACAAGCTCCTTAAAATGAAGTCTGTGACTGCTTGTTAACAAAGATCCTAGAAGTTCATCTTTCCTGTGCTACTGCTGGATGACACAAGAAACCTTGAACTTTACACTGCACTTCTCAGAAGGTTACTGGATAGTTTAATTTCCTTCCCTGCTCCACCCTTGCTGAGAGGAAGGCTTTTTTCTTTTCAGCACTTTGAATAATTGGAGGTAATAGCTGAGCTGGTGTTCCCTATTGCTACATCACAGCAAGAGTTGCGTGTGGGCTCACCCCTGAGTGCCAGACTACCAACTCAGGAGGGTGCTCTGCCACAGTGTCAGCAATAGCCCTTACCCCAGCACACTACAGGTCAGCTGAACTGTAAGGGTTTAAGGACAACAGCCTTGTATTTTCCTTGCAGCTGCAGACAAGGTTAACATTGTAGAAGTAACAGATGTTTTTGGAGTTGACACAGCTTGCAGGTCTGCCCCCTGTTCTGCAGAAAGAAAGATTTGGCCCTTGTGACAGTTCTGGGGTGGGGTGGGGGGGAAGTGTTGGGGGGCAGCTAAGGCAGCTCATCAGTCATCTGAAGTTAGTCTCCTTGCAGGGGTCTCCCTTCATCAAAGGACTTCGACTCTGCGTATCGCCAGCCAGAGGGCATCTGATCTACAGCTCTGATGCTCTTTCACCCAACCTTTCTGGGCATCTCTTGAAAGACGAGCAGCTTTTTTTTTTTTTTGCCTCCTCTCTGAAGCACTACCAGCTTTAAAAGCCACCTGATCCCTGCTGCAGCTGGGTGGTAGCATCCTTGTGGCAGGCTAGGTTATGCCTGACTCTAAAGTGCCAGCAACGCTGTGCTCGAGAAAGCCCTGTGTGTCTTGAGGGAAGACAGGCCTTGGACAGTACTGTGGCCTTGTTCAGAGGTTAGCAGGTGCATGGCTGAGCTTAGATGTGTAGGTGTTTGTCCTGTAACGCATCTATGCTGCTTAGAGCTTTGAGGTGGACTTTCGGCTTCCTGTTTCATTGCACCGAGCTTGTTCCCTCTGAAGTTCCTCCCTTCCCCCTGGCCTCAGTTCAGGCCAAGTAATAAACAGCCTAAGCTCTAGCTAATAGCTCTCTGGAGCAGAAAGCTTCCCGTGCTCTTTCTGTTTGTCCTCTGGAGCCTAGCATGAGCCTTGCTCATCCCCAGCCCCTGGCCTGGCAGGTGCCCTGGGGAAGGCCCAGCCTCTCTGGGCACAGCCTGGCTGTGCAGGGGGTCCTGCCCCAGAAGGGAGGGCGAGGGCTCTGCGCTGGGGGACAGAGCGACCCTCCGCGGCCGGGGGGAGCTGGGCAAGGCTCAGCCACCGAGGGATCCTCGGGGTAGCAGGGAGCAGCTCGATACTTCCCTGAAGTTGCAGTGTTTAACGAGGGGCTGTAACGACCCCCCCAGAGTGGGTGAAGAGCTCCCTGTGGTGTCATCCAACTCAGCTGATTTCACTCACGGTGGGGGGCTGCGTGGCTTTGCTCTTCTGGGGGTGTGGAAAGCTGACCTTTACGCACCCAGCACCCGCTACCTGCGTCAGCGGCGCAGCGCGTGCCTCTGCCTGCTTCCCTGCCCCAGCAGCTGCGCACAGTCCTGCAGAGTGTTTGTGCCCGTTTTCCTGACAAAAACAGGAATTTCTTCTACTTTAGCCCTGCGTGGCCTCTTGACAGCAGTTTAAAACTATCAAAAGTTTGCAAGAACTGAAACGCTTTGAGCGGCCTCTCCTAGAAAGATGCTGATGCTTGTGAGCCCAAGCTCACATTTCAGCTTGAGAAACTTTCCATTTAAACTAGTGAATGGAGCCTGGGGGGGAGCGAAGAGACTTCCTATATTCCATTTAAATTCCTGGGGTAAGACTGACTTAGAATGGTTCAAAGGCACTACTCCACTGGTTTGCACGTCTTAGACACTGAAACGTGTATTTTTTTAAAGCAAAATATTCTGATTAAAGTCTTTAAAAGCATCTGTTTTTCCAAAGGTAAGTCGCCAGCTGCAGGTTTTCTTTTGTCTTGCTGTCCTTCTAAGTATGTTTGTTGAATTGTTGGGGCTTTTATCTTCCCCTCTAGGCAAATCTGAAGACTTAGTTCGCGCTCAGGTTGGCTGGGCAGAAAGCAAAGCGTGGAAAGGGGGAAACGCAACCTCTGGGGGGGAGGCTGCGGGGGCCGTCGCTGGGGCGGGTGCTCAGGGGGGACGGAGGTGAAGGACGGAGAAGAGGGCGCTTTCGTGGAGCGTGAATTCAAACTGCGGGCCGGGGTGCTCAGAGCACCCTTACCCAAAATGCTGCTCTGGCTGGAGGGGGAAGAAACGAGGTCCTGCTGCCCTGTGACGCAGGATCTGCTTAAAAGAAAAATATGTTTATACCTTTGCTGTTGGCCCCCTGACCTTGTGGCAGGAGGGCCACCAGTGGGGCTGCGGGGCGAGCGCTGGCCGGCGGGGCAGGGAGCAGCGACTTGCTTGCAGGATGTGTGCTTCAGTGAGCATGAAACGCCTTGGGGGCCAGGAAGCACAGGGCAAGGTGGAGCCTTTGGAGGCAAGCAAGCTTGTGCTTGCAGGTGAGAAGGGGGGCTGAGGTGAGGTGAGCGAGGGCAGGGGCACCGAGGGGGATTTGGGAGACTCTGCTCTTCATCCCAAGGTCTAAGCCTGCAGAAATAGCTGGCTGCTCAGCTTTTATGGAAGTGTTGCTGCTTTAAGGGCAAGTTAACTGCTAACAGGTGATTCCTATTAAATATTAACCTGAGGGAATGAGTCATGCTGCTTGCTTTGCTGCTCTGCAGGCCCTCAGCCTGCAGGCATCCAAAATAGGCATAGGTGCTGGGCCATGCTAGGTGCAGTCTCAGGTAAAGACAAACGCTGCTTGTGAAGTGATGGGCAGGCAGCGTACGTTTACCTACTGGGCCCTCCGTAGTGGGGGAGGAGGGGAAAAAAAGTACGCTTTATTCCAATTTCTGCATGCATTGTAGAAAATAATTGTGGCCCTGCTACTCTGGATGAAAGATTTTTTTGCTCTTGGAGAAGAACCTGCATGATGCCTTAAACAAGGCCGTTGCTATGCTGCAGAGGCTAGCAGTGTCTGCTAATAAAGCAAACCGATAACGAGACTGGACAGAATTAGCCCCATCTCTGCACCCATTTCATTGCATTTCTGACTCGGGCAAGAGCTGCTGCGGCCCGTGAGCGTGGGGAGAAGTCGGGGCAGACGTTTCTAAGGGTGGTTTTCCCTCTGCAGGGTGTCCCATGGGCAACAGCAGCAGCCGGCTGTACAGCGCGCTCGCCAGGACGCTGAGCAGCAGCGCCGTGCCCCAGCACCGGGACTGCTTGGGGCAGCCCGACCCAGCGCAGCTGGACCCCATCGACCCCAAGGACCTGCTGGAGGAATGCCAGATGGTGCTGCAGAAGCGCCCGCCCCGGTTTCAGCGGGACTTTGTGGACCTGAAGGCAAGCGCCGCCAGCAGCCACCGCCCCATCAGGGTCATGCAGTGGAACATCCTCGCCCAAGGTAGGAGCCGCCTACCAGCTCGAGTCGCGACCTCGCGCTCGGATGCGGAGACGAAAACCGGTAGCCTGTGATCCCTTTTAGGTGCAGCTACGTCCGTGTAGCTAGAAACGGCTGGGATTTGGGAGGTCAAAGGGAGCGGCATGGATTACGTAAGGCATAATTGATCAGGGCAGGGGGAACCTTTTCTGCGCTTGAAATAGTGGCTTTCCTTCCATCCTGCAGGAAAGAAAGGAAGAAGGTCTCTTACAACCATGAAGCCAAACGTAGCTCTGAATCCCTACTGTAATTGAACATGGTATATCCAAAAAGCTGGCCCCCGTCACTTTTAAATAGTTGTTAACCCACAGAAAATAGATTTGCCCTCTTGCCCTTCTGTAAGTCTTTTGAAAGCTTCTCTGCTCGTGTTTTCTTGTAACTTACTGGTGAACTATTCAAAAATGCAGATCAGTTAGGGGATTTCTTAATTCTTTACACTTCAAAATAATTGTTACTGAGCCCTACAGTCAGGATTGAAAGCTGACTCACGTAACAGCCTTACCGTAGTCTTTTTTCGGAGGGAAATGCCCCGCTTAGGGACTGTCTTCACACTCTGCAGTTAAGTCACTCCTATAGTACCGCATTTCCTCTTAGTTAAGCTGCGGCAACCACATGGAGAAGGACTTGCCAAAGCGTAGTTCCTTTTGGAGAGAGGGAAGGGGTCTAATTAAACATGTATCTGTGAAAGGATTTTAGCTTTTTTGGAGGGACTTCAGTGCTCTGAAAATGGGTTCTCTTTGGCTAACCCAGGCAGCCTTAAAGTTGGCATTATTCCTGCAGATCCCATCCCCTGCATGTGAACTGGTGTACGCACACTTCATAGAGAAAGCAAAGTGTGTTGCAAAAGGCTTATGTTGCTTCCCATTGTAACTTTGTGCCCCGTGGAAAAAGGGGATGAACACAGTGCTGTTGCTGTCTCACGACTGTGTGGAATAAAACTTGGTGACGGAGTGGGGCGGTTGTGGCAGTGTTTCAGAGCAGGAGTTTCGGGATAGCACAAACCCACAGCAGCAGTAACAGAGCAGCCAGCTCGTTTCCAGGTGCTCTGAGCACCCAGAAACCGTGTGGCACCAGCGGCAGTGCTGGGCTGCAAGCAGCAGCTGGCTGCTGTGAGATGGCAGCCGGCTGCTGAGAGCAGAGCCGTGCCTCTGGCCTCTCCAAAACCTGGAGGAAGACGGCCTATTTTAGCTACTGACAGCTTCTCTTTTCCTCTCCCCCTTTCCCCCACCCCCTGCCAATTTCAGCTCTCGGAGAAGGCAAAGACAACTTTGTTCAGTGCCCCATGGAAGCTCTGAAATGGGAAGAAAGGAAGTGCCTCATCCTGGAGGAAATCCTTGCGTACAAACCCGATATCTTGTGCCTGCAAGAAGTCGACCACTACTTCGACACCTTCGAGCCGCTCCTCAGCCGGCTGGGCTACCAGTGTACTTTCTTCCCAAAGCCGTGGTCCCCGTGCCTAGATGTGGAGCAGAACAACGGGCCGGATGGCTGCGCCTTGTTTTTCCTGAAGGACCGCTTTGAGCTCATCAACAGTGCTAATATTCGGCTAACTGCAATGAAGCTGAAAACCAACCAAGTGGCCATAGCTCAAACGCTGAAGTGCCATGAAACTGGAAGAGTGTTCTGCATTGCTGTCACTCACCTGAAAGCTCGTACCGGCTGGGAGAGGTTTCGGTCTGCGCAAGGCTGTGATCTTCTCCAGAACCTGAAGAATATTACCCAAGGAGCAAAGATCCCTCTGATAATCTGCGGGGACTTCAACGCGGAGCCAACCGAGGAAGTCTACAAAGAGTTTTCAAACTCCAGCCTCAATTTAAACAGTGCGTACAAGCTGCTGAGCCCCGATGGGCAGTCGGAGCCGCCGTACACCACCTGGAAGATCCGGCCCTCGGGCGAGTGCCGGCACACACTGGATTACATCTGGTATTCGCAGCATGCCTTGAATGTGAACTCAGCTCTGGGCTTGCTGACTGAAGAGCAAATTGGGCCCAACAGGCTGCCATCGTTCAATTACCCTTCAGATCACCTGTCTTTGGTGTGTGACTTTAGTTTTAATCAAGACCCTGACAGGCTGTTATAATTTGCTGGAATGCTGCCTGGTATTGCAGTGTCTTAATTCACCACTTTATTTTAAAGAGAACTTTTGAAGCTGGAAACTATTTAAGGTGAGGAAATACTGTTGACTAAACACTTTTTTCAGGCACTCGTTTGGAATTACACTTGCCATTCAGAGCTTGTTAATCTGAAGCCTCCACGGGAGGGAGGGAGGAAGGAAGGAAGGAGGAGGCAGCGTTCTTGTTGTGTGTGTCCTTGCCACATCAGGGTTTGAAAGGAGGAAGGAAAGTAAGTTTCTCCTTTCGCTAACCCCTCTGTCCAAGGCTTTAATCCTCTAATGAATGTGGAGGCTCTCCATGTTTAAATTAAAAATCACTCGTGTATGTAAAACAACTTGCCCTGACAGCATGCTAATTTTATTTATTTCATGTTAAGCTTGTACAAGTACCAAAGGGAATGAGGCTTGACTACTCAGTAAGTTTTTTTATCGTTTGCAGTATGAAGGAAGGTGAATGTATTTTAGACACGAACAATTCCAAGCTCATACGAGCATTGTCTTCTCATTTTTTTAAAGTGACTTGAGATGAAAGTTTTGCTAAAAATGAATGGATAATAGCTTTCCAAAGCACAGCATGAGGAAGGCCCCCTCCAGTAAGAGCAGGTGAGAAAATGGAGGCTCACTGCAGTACATCCTATAGGAATAGCCTCACATTTCCAGAAGAACATGCATGTGTCTAGTACAGACATAGAGCCCATAGTGTACACAGTAACTGGTATCTTGTTTCTTCTGTACCTCCCTTCAGTGGACACACCTAGCAGGTAGAGTTTTCTTGTCTGCTTCGAGTCTTACTTTTCTGAATGGTTTGAATTTGTAGTCTGGTCAGTCAGCCTTCCCGTTTCAGTAGAGGGCCAATCTTCCTGTTGTAAACCGTTCTTTTGTCTATCTTCAGAATCTAATGCTACACTGGAACCTGTTACAAGATAACATTAATTTATTGAGAAAAGCTGGTGATCCTGTATCTGACTTGAAATCATACAGGAGCAGTGCCTGGGAGCCCAGACAGGTCCCCCGACGAAGCGCCGAGGCTACGCCAGAGCTGCGTTAGCAGAGGGACGTGTATTTGGAGGGGTGCTCTTGGCCGTGATGTAGCCCTGGGATATATGGATTGTAAACATGGCACTGTGCAGGAAAAGGGGGAAGGGAGAGGAGGGAAGAGACTGTGGTTGGAGTAGGGCTGATGCTAGACAGTTGGGGAAGATGAGGCAGAGCAAATAAAGCAGTACTTCCATGTAAAGTGAGGCCCATAGTGTTCCCAGGTGTTTTATTAATAAAAGTCTTTTAAAAGAAAGTAATGTCTCTACTGCTGTTTGTTTTATTTCCATTTCCTGAATAGTTAATCCGTCTCAACTAGTCTCTGATTTAGCCTCAAATTAGGGGTAATACTGCCAACAAACTACCCCTTCCAGACCTTTTTCCTCACCACGTAGTCCTAATCCTTCAACCAATTGTCATGGCTGCTTTTCTCTCGTGGCAAGTTTTCTTTCTCTTAACTTGTATACCTTTAGAGAAGTTGAGCTGCTTTCTCCAGCAGCTGAAGATGAAGCCTGGACTTTAAATTTTACTGTGTAAGTATTTCTCTTTCTAACAGTTGCCTGGAGTTACAAAGCAGGCCAAAAATCCACTGCTGAATTACCCCCCAGCATTGTATGTATTCCTCGTGGAGGGGGCTGCTGGAGCATGCTTACCAGAGCTGGCCCATGTATTTGTCACTTCCTTGCAAAACAATTTGAAGAGGAAGAAAGTGGTAGTGGTACATTCTTTACATCACCTACAAGTTGCTGTATTTGTGTTGGTAGGTGAAAGACAGAGTTTGGCAGCTGCAAGTCCCAAGTTCCCCCCACCCCTTTCAGGCAAATGTGAGTGAAGTGCTGGGCAGCTGTAGCACTCTCTGCATGGGTTCCTCACCTTGGCAGGGAGAGGTGATGACCTGCTCGGGTCCCTCTGCCTGGGATGCAGGGCTCCTCTAGCAAAGGGGGATTTAAAATTCCCCAGAGAGAAAGGATTCCACAACCAAGGGGCCTGATTTCCTGGCTAAATATTTCTACTAGGCAAATGTAGCATTAAATACTACCACCTGGAGCCTCCTTCAGCTGTGTCTTCAAGAAGAACAAATCTCCATTCTGGCCCTGGAAGCCAAAAATTCCTATTGCCCCACAGGATGGCAGACCTTTGAGCATCCCTGTCACAGGCTTTTCATAGCACCTAAATCAAGACAGCTCCCTTCTCACAGCACTCAGTGTTCACCGTTGCTTGCTGAAGGATGACATGCAGTGCTTCTTTAGGTTAAGTCTGCTGTTATGATCTCCCTCAAAGGTCTTTAGCAGGAGGAGGACTAATAAAATTGCCTTTTAATGGAGGTATCTAGGCATCTGTACCAAACCACTTCTAAAAGCAGCACTGCAACGTAGACCTATGTGTTACCTTTAATAAGTGAACTACTTGCTCATCTACTGTAGAAAGTCACACCAAGCTAGAGCTTACGTTTATCCCTTTTGGCAGTTTCCAGAAGAAATTACAGTTGTAGTAGAAACCTATGACTGGAGTGCAAGGATAATATTGTGTACTCAGAGCCATATTAAAAAAAAAAAAAAAAACACCACCTTCCTTTCCCTTTTAGTTGTGCAAAGCAGCTCCGTTTTCCTAAGGCTACCCAAGGGTGTGTGTTAATGTGCTACTGTTTCACAGCTGCCAAGGCACTGATAGTGGTGAACTTTGTTTACTAATAAACCAGCAGAAGCCAAACTAAAGCAGCTAAAAGATTCCCCCCATCGCTCCCACAGAGTGGTGATATTTGGTACCCGAAAGATTCTTACACCATTTGGCTCAGACCCTTACTTTCAACACAAACTCTCATGTGAAAGAAACCAAATTGCAGGCATACAGCATGATTTCTATGACTTTGCCATCACTCTAGAGTTTTTCTAAAGCGAAAAAGGGCTGAGATTCTTATTTCACTCTGGATGCCTGATAATCAATTTTGACTGCTTCATGTTCTTAAAGGCCAATTTTGAAGGCAGGGAGGGGGAGAAGAAATGTGAAGATGCTGGGGTAGCTTCTCATCCCAGGGCAACTCTTAATAGTATACTCAAGAAATCACACATCCCTACTAGAGTGCAGGAGTGCAACTCTTCCTGCTGTATTTTAATAGTTTAAAGGCAGACAAGACTCAGCAATTGACTGGTAACGTCCCAGTCAGTTCCAGCCTTTTATTTCCACTCTCACTGTAAAACGTATTTTACAGACTCACTCTTTTGGAAAGCTTAAGTGAAACATTGCCCTTGCTTTGTTTTATTCTGCAAGAGGCAGGTCTGCAGCAGTGAAATGCTTCTGCTTGCTATAATTATTAGTAAATAATCATTTTCTGAGAAAGAAGCAGGAAGCTTTATTTTTTTTCTATGTGGCAGCATGACTCTTACAATAAAAATGGTGCCCTGTAAGTATTCTAAGGCTAAAAAGATCTCAACAGAACCTTTCCTCGAATGTTGAATAAAAGCTGTATTAGCTTTAGCAGTGACACTTTTCCCCTCACTCTCAAGCTAGCTGAAGGAAGAAATGACCTACTTATTTAAATTGCTGAAAGGTAGAAGCTGCTGCAGGCTCATTAAAATAGTCTCTCCCTTGGAGAACCATTAGATTGGAAGTAGATACTGTCACTCCGATCTTTCCCACTTAATAATCTTAATACCTCCTGTGTGAACTGTCTCTATGAGGAAGAAATTGAATTTAGCTCGTTCTGGCTGTGACAATCTTCCTGCTTAACTGAGATCGCTGCTGCACATGTCATGGTGAGTAAGAACTGAGGCTTCAGGCAGCCCTCCACTTTCTTGCTTCTCATCAGCTATCGGCCTGCCTCTGGCTCACTGATCCCGGATCGGCTTGGATGTAATTCTCTGACACCCAAAAGTTGATGAGATCAATTAGTGGACGATCCCAAGAACTAAGCCTTCCCAGCAGCGTGCTTCACCCAAATCAGTTCTTGAGTTGTGTCAAGGCACAGAACCTCTATCTCACCTTAATGCTAAGTGTGAGATGCTAGCAATAATTTTTGCCAAAAAAAACACAAACACTTGCGCCAGACTTGCACAGCAAGATAGACTTTAACCATCAGAGAGAAACAAAAATAGCTGTCTTGGGGATAGGATTCCCTTTCAACTTTTAGACCAGTGTTATTGTCACAGCCTAGAAAAATCCGATACCAAGATCTTTATTCCGAGTTGCCATTCACAGTTAAGAGTCTCTCCTGTGGATTACATAGCCATTTCATGTCCCTCCTATAACATAAGACAGGGATAATTTGAAAAAAAGTTTTATATACTTATATTTATATAAAATCCGTGGTACCATGGCAATCCATGTCTTAATGCCTGCTGTATAAAGCATGCTCACTCCACACTAGAAAAGTTCTTACTTGCCAAAGATGACTCGAGCCTGGACTCTTCTACACAATCCACCAGCAATAGATGTTAGTCCTGCTTTTACACATGGTCAGAGGAACAGATTTTCAAAGTGGCTGCAGAAGTCTAGCAACATAGCTAGACACTAATCGTTACTGTTCCCGTTAGTGCCCCTTTCTGTCTTTCAGATTTTACACAGCTGACCAAAGCTCCCTCTTCCTGAGGTCACATCCTCCCAACACCACCAGCAACAACATTCCTTGCCAAGCAGCAATTAACTACGTCAGCATAAGGCAGCGTGTTGAAGAACAGGCTTGAAGGGGCCTATAAAAGGACCTAAGAATTGTAGTTACAGGTAGGAATTTTTCTCTTCTGAAACTCAGCCATAGAAATCCTCAGTGAGAGATTGCGTCCTGTCAGATGTATGGATTGTTACCTACATTATATACCACTTCTGAGGAGGAACTCATCTCAGAGCAGCTCACAGGAAACATCCACCCACACCCACACCCACACCCACCCCCACAGAAGAGCCCTGCTTAAGCAGATACACTGAAATCACTATCTGATTGTGACCCAAAGCCTGTCTATATTTATAACTAGGAGCTGAATTTAAGAACAGGAAGTGCAGAGGCATACCTAGAAACATATATAACCGAAAGGGGACTTTGCTGTTTGAAGCCTGGAAAGTACCGTTTCCATTTCAGTTCGTGTGTCCCCATTCCAACCGAGATTCGCACAGCGCTTAACGCGCTTCTGATAAATGTTCTCTGGCAGCCCGTACACGTGCCGCTCGCCGTGCGGCCAGCGGAGAGAGCCACAGCACCATCACCACTTCTGTGGCAGGATGCAGTAGGGGCGGCCACAGCAGCGCCTCAGGGCATGGCTGCGCATTGCCAGCCTTCTAAGGAGCAGAGATGTGAGCCCCCGTTTCTGTCATGTTTGCCATTACATGAAGTCCTGGCTCTAACTTAAGAGAAGGTCACCTGCTGGAGATCCTTATCTATTTCCAGAAAGATAACTTTGCCCACACTAGACTTCCAGTGTATCTAAATTAGGTGTGGGAAAGGTCTTAACTTACAAATACTCCAGCGATACGCATTTCATGCTCTAAGATACAGTCTCTTTCATATATGATCAAGTAACAGCCATTTGGAAAAGGATCTCTTACAGAAAAGACTCATACACATGTGTTTAAAAATGCTACTTTTTTTTTTTTTTTTGGTCTTCCAGCTCCAATTATTTGTTGTACCTCCACAGCATGGATTGCCTGCCTGCCTCTCTTCATACAGCTCCATTTCCTTTTCTCCAGGAGAGCTGCCTCACAAACTACTGAGTCAGTCAACAGGTTGCCCACGTCCTTCCCCCTCACCCTCCCCCCTTTTTTGTCCTACCTCTTTTTTGGTAGCACAAATCCTCTTCCTTCTCCCACGTTTCCTCCAGTGAAGGAGTATTTGTCATCTATTCTCAGGTCCAGAATCACCCTGTAAGAATCTTTGCTTCTTTACATTAACTGCTGGTAGAAAGGATTTCTAGCTTCTGCATCAGATGTTTTTCTCCTGCTGCAGCTTGTGCATTCATTTGTTCTTAAACTCTTCCTCCCTGCTTGGAGAGTATAAAAAGGAACCTTTTTTTCCAAAGACATTTAAAATTCCCCACAGGCTGACTTGGCTGTATGGAGCTCTTCCCACCTTTCTTACCATGTGAAGGGAAGAATGAGGCTTACTGCTAAGACTCCGCAGGTAACTCACTTTTCAATATGATAGGTAAAAGGAAAACATTAACTTCAGTACAAGCACTTAATTTTGGCCTTCTTTATCATTACTTAAGATCTCAGTTCCAGATTTCTGTGAAAACTGTTCCGCCA